TATTGGTGGTGTTGGACTCGTGGGCCACCTCGCGGTACAGGCTGAGGGCGAACTCGGCCAGGCTCGGGGCGATCCTGTGGCAGGCTGGGTGGTCCTGCTCATGGCTGGAAACGGCTGTCTCCTGGGCCTCGTCGGCCAGGAAGCCGGGCAGCAGGCAGCCCAGGCCGGCCAGCAGGAGGAGCGCTCGAGAGACAGAGGGTGGCATTGTCCTGTGGGAGAGAGAAGGGCACCAAGCCCTGAGTCGGGGCCTGTGATGCCTGCCGGAGGCCACCCACTGACGCCACACACAGGTCATGGCCAGCAGACATGCACAGGGTCTCTGGCAGTGCAGACCGAAGGTGTACAACGCGTGGGCGTGTCTGCATCTCCTACAGTGGCCAGCCCCTGGTGTCAGAGGGGAAGAAGGCGCTGGGATCCCTTCTGTATTTCCACTGCCTTAGGGTTTCCCTGACACCACCCACCTGGATGGTGGTGCAGTCTCCAGGCCAGATGGAAATTCCCCACCTCTGCAGGGCTCAGTTACCAGGGGCAGCTGAGCCTAACAGGGCGGACGCCAGCTTTTCCCAGAGGCCTTTGGCTGGAGGCTGCGGCTCCCCTCCAGGCACACAACTTTCCACTGGGCATCAGCGAGCATCCCCTGGGCCTTGCTCTGCCCAGCTGTGCAGGGTTGTGCAGAGGCGACCCCAGGCCCTCCCTGCACTCACACAGGGCTCCTGGGGGGGTGCCCAGGACTCCCACTGAGGGCTGGGGTGGGCTGAGGCACCCTCCTGCCCGTGTTGCTCCTCCTGAGGCCCCAGGACCCTGGTCCTGCTGTCCTCTTCTACTCCTCTTACAGGGCTGGGAAGCACTGGGCAGGTTTGGGGAAAGAACCTCAGGGGCTGCTGTTGCTATGGCGACAGGACAGCCGGCGGCTGGGAGCACAGCCCAGTGGCCCCTCCCCGTCTGCCCTGCAGCCCCCCCCAGGGCCCTCCCCAGGGAGCGCACACTTACCAGGACTCAGTGTCCAGGGCTGGTGGAAGGAGCAAGGATGGGGAGACGGAGCCCTGTGCTTGTCCTTGTCCGTATTTATAATGATCACAGCGGGGATGGGGCGGCTGCAGGTGAATATTAACCAAGGTCATGCCAGTTATCGGAGGAGCAAACAGGAGCTAAGTCCACTGGCTGGCACTGGGCCGCCCACCCACTGTATTGAGCTTGGCCTGGACAGCACATATCTCTCGGCTCCATATCCCCAAGGGGGTCACTGGAGCAGGCACGTCGACCGTGGGGTGGGTGGCACGAGTCAGATGGTCTCTGGGACAGCATCACCCAGCTGGCTGTGTGCTCTCACCAGAAACCCTCCGTGGCCGCCCCATCAGGAGTGAGATGAGCCACGTATGAGCCAGCCGCCCGCGCGCCCTCTGTGGAAGACCCAGCACAGCCGTGGTGGTGGAGTGAGTCTGAGCCCGTGTGACAGAGAGGGAGACTGAGGCTCAGTGGAGAGGCTGCTCTTCCAACGTTCCCAAGCCAGCCTTAGGTCCTGACCATTCATGTCCCCCAGAATAGGGACTGGGGCGTGACTGACAGGCTTGGCCATGTCAGCCTGGCACTGTGGCCTGGGGACGGGCGGGGCCAGAGAGTAAATCTTGAGAGGCGATCGGTGTTGCTTCCTCTCGGATCCTGGGGGCGTTTCCCCTGCACCTGTGCTGATCGCAAGCCCCACCCCCCAAGCCTGGCTTCTGGGAACACAGGAAGCACCTAGGATTTTCTGCCCTGCCCTGGGGATCTTTATTTGAACCCTGCAGCCTGTGTGGCCATCCCTCTGCACTCTGGGATTACGGAGCCAATGGCTCTCTGGCGGTTCCAGCTTCTGGTTTCCGGAAGGCCGGTGTGACCCACGCAGGGCTTGAATTTCCTCGCGGCCTTGGGGAGCAGTGCTGTGGCAGGGGGAGGTGCAGAGTCGCGGCCAGCTGGCCCCCTTGATTCGAGTTCCTGTAACAGCCTAAATGCAACGCAGTGCTCTCTGGGCTGCTCGGTGCCGGTGGCTGGGCTCCTGCTGCACTGACAGGTGCTCTCTGATGAGGACGAGTTTGGCTTTGCTCCCCCTCTCCTCCCGCAGTCCCATCTGGGGGTGGCCCTGGGAATTCTCTACGCCCGAATTCAGACCAGAGGACTCACTCACTGCTGTGTGACTTCTGACCAGTCACTTAACCTCTCTGGTACCGCACAGGTAGGTGTACACTCCTTATTGGTGCATTGGTCCAATGTCTACCCAAGCCCATAGATCCCCCTGTGGTCACATGGAGAGTCTGGGAGGTGAATCAGGAGCCTTCCTGTGGGTATTCCCTCACTCAGCACCCCCCCATACACCCACCTTACAGGAAGTGGCTCAGCACCCTCTCCCCTACCGTTCCCTGCGCACAGCCCTTTCCCCTGCCTTCAAGGACCTGGTCTTTCCCCTGAGCTGCCAGCGGGATGCTTCCCCTGGAACTGCACCCCTAAGCTACTCCCCGTGCAGGGAGCGGCTAGCTGTGGAGGAGCAGATGTCTGCCCCCCAGAACTGTGTACCCCCATCTGCATGACGGCTCTCTCCCTGCTACACTGGGTGGACAGCAGGTGCCGCCTCTCCCCCTCTCCCCAAATGGTTCTCGCAGCCCCTCCACCTGGGCCTGGGTCGTGCTGAGGGGCAGCCATGCTTCCCTGTCCCCTGCTGCTCTCCTCCTCTGCAGCTCTGGTTCTCTGGGGGCTGCATCGCCCAGGCCGTGTGTGCCTGACCACAGCTCTGGTCTCTGCCTGCCTGGTGGGAAGGAGGCCCCTGTGGTGCGGATGACAGGGCCAGGAGGGGCTGGAGCTGAGGCAGGAAGGGCCCTGCCCTTTGCCAGGTGGACACAGGGGGTTCTTGCTGGCCCATGCAGTCCTGTGTGTCGCCTGCTATGCCTGCCGTGTCCTGGCTCTGAGTCCCAGGTTGAGGCACCCTGAGCTCTGAGCCCAGCAGGAGGAACAGTGGCAACAGTTCCAGGACCCTAGGAACAACAGTGTCACCTTCCTGGTGGAAATCCAGGGCCTGCTGCAGAGAGGGGAGGCAGGGCCACCTCCAGGTGCCCAGCAGGAGCCAGGGAGGCTGGGAGGTCGAGTGTCCCAGGCCTGGCTTACAGCAGGACGTGGTGCTCGGCAGCCAGGTTTGGGTCTCTGCCCTTGAGGGTGTCGGGCTCCACACTCAGCCCCTGTCTACCCTGGGCACCATCTCTGGGTGTAGGGCTGGGAGGACCCGAGAAAGCGAGGCAGGAGAGACCCCCTGGAGTGGGACAGGTCACCTATTCACAGTTGGGTGGACCGGGTGCTCCCAGGCCAGGGTGCCCTATGGGGAAAGCCCCTCCAACTCCTGCAACTGTCCTTGACAACAGCTGGGAGCAAGTGCATCCTGGGGCGTCCCAGTGGGCTGCATGTGAGCAGAGGGCCACTGGGAGACCCTGCCCCTGCACGGGCCCTGCCTAGAGATGGGGCCCAGGGGTGGGCTGGGGTCTGCAGCCAGGAAGGGAGTGGGGGTTAGGCATTTGAGGGGCTCTGGCCAGGTGGTCAGGATGCGAGGCTGCCTAGGTGGAGAGTGTGGGCCTCAGGGCAGCCAGATCCACTGGCGGAGTTCCCGCGAGGGTGTGGGGTCTCCTGCTTCCAATTCTCCTCCTTGTTCAGCTGCAGAAAACTGAGGCAAATCCACACAACGTGGCCATGCTGGGAGCAGAAGGCAGGAAAGACGCCTCGGGACGCTCTGAGATGAAGGCACTGAGGTTCATTACAGCCAACCTCGCTTCTACTTGAACCTCACTCTTGAGGTTCTGGACTACAACAGCCAACGGGAATGTGAGCTCAAGGGGACCCCTCGTGTCCTGTGTAACTGTAGCTATGGTGTCCTTGTGGAAGGTCACCTTGGCCTTCCCAGGCAGGCAGGAGATCAGCACTGCTGACTTTTCCGGAAGCATCACTTGGTTTCTTTGACCCCAAGGCTGCCTCATTGCTGGGAGGTCAGTCAGTGGCCGTGTTCTGGCCAGGGAGAGAGCAGGGCTGCGAGGCTCCTCCGTGATGACCAGCAGGACTGGTGTGCAAAGCTCGCCATGGCTGGGGGTCGGAGGTCCCGAAGGACCCTTGGCCTGTTATGGGAGGTGCAGGCCCTGTTGTCTGGCTCAGGTTACAGGGACAGAACGTTTCCCGGCCCTCGATCGTGTCCCAGGGCTTTAATGCTCAGACCCTTGGGAACTAAAGGCAGCTGCCTTGGAACGTCTCAGAAGGTGTTTGAGGCAGGGGTTGCGTGGACTAAAGCAAAAGCATGGGTTCTCCCCATCACACCCTGCTCTGACTTTGTTCCCCGGTCGCTGTTAGAGGAGGAAGACGAGCGTAGCACACATTCTGCTTCTTGGATAAAAGTGTTCGCTGTGTTCTGGGACAGCATCTGAGCATTGGCAGGGCATCCAGGGAGGCCCCTGGGTTTCTGGGGCTGATGGGTCCAGGCCACCTGTGTGCGGGCGCCCCCTGCTGGCCCACCTGCTCTTCACTCTCATCCCTAAATTCTGGCCAGGCTCAGCAGTGCACCTGTGCAGGCCTGGCCAGCTGGGGAGTGGAGAATTCTGAACCTGAATCCAGGCCCCCAGCCCCTCGGGTCTGGCATGGTTCCAGCCGACCCATGAAGCTCAGCGCTGTGGGCACTGGCGGTCTCGGGTGAGTGACTTCAGGAGAGCCTGCCTTGTTTGGGGAGCAGTTGCTGTTAAGCACCAGGAGACAGAAGGGGAAATTCAGGGGATTCCCACACTTGGGTTAAAGCACTCAGTGCCACGTGACTCAGCCCCGAGCTTCACGCACATGTGCATTGCCAGGAGTGGGCGGGCGGTGATGTCTCAGGGTGGGCTGTGGGGTGCCCTCCCTGGCACCACATACTCTTGGGTAGGCGTCAGAGGGACCCCGAGACAGGGCTGTGACCTGGAGTCCTCACACAAGCCCAGGGCACAGAGGGACACTCAGAGACCACAGGTGAGGGGCTGCCCCCGGGGAGAGCAGCTCAGAGCTTTAATGTGCTGGGGTGGGGTCTCAGTGTTGGGTGGGATCCACCACTTTCCCCACGAAGAGGGGACTCTTGAGCTCATGACTGTAAATGACAAAGAGGAAGGGCCTGTCAAAAATGACACTTTCTGGTAGAGACGATGGCATGATCCCCACAAATGTGGCCCCGGCAGCTTCGGTCCCTCTCTCGTCGATGGTCAGCACCGCCTTGTGCAGGGCCTGGAGGCAGAGAAGCAGAGCTGTGAGCTGAGCCTGGACAGGGACCCAGGTGGACAGCTCACCCAGGAGTGGTTCACGTGGGCTTTTCTGCTGCTGGCCGGGGATGCCCTTTCCCGTCCCTCCGCCCTTTGGGCTCCTACACTTTCTCTCTCTCTCTCTCTCTCACTTCTCTGTCTCTTGTCTGGGGCTGTCACATCCTCCCCTCATCCTGAACCAAACCTCTAACCCACTGGCTGTACCTCAGCCTCAGCAGGGTACCATGGCCAAGACCCTCTATGTGCCTCCACTGTACTCCGTTCTCATTACGATTTTCAGGTCCTTGTCACAAGGGCTGTGGGGTGGCATCCCAGTGCCCGTTCCGTCCCCACTGTGTGCAGCCTCTCACTGAGCTCCACTAGGTCACTGCTCCCACGATGTCACTGAGCAGCCGTCACCCGTAGCTGAACTCCCTCATGTTCAGACGTGGTGACACAATGCCACCCCATGGCACAGAGGGAAGGGGCCAGGTTGAGCTTTGGAGTCACCGACTCTGACCTCTGTGTCAGGGCCGGGAAATCAAGGTCCAGACGAGAAGGCCATGGGCACGCTGAGCCAGGGCTCTGACCCAAGCTCAGGGGGGGCTCCTAGCATGGAGCCCCCTCCTGAAATCTGTCCCCCGACACTTCCCGCCCCAGTGCATCACGTGGGCCCCGGGAGCAGCCAGGTCTGACATGGTGTGTGTCTCGGGCCTGTCCCCATCTCCAACTTGGGCCCTGCCTCTCCCCATCTGGTCCCAGACATCAGTGGGCAGCCTGGTCCCTGGGGGCCTCACCTGGGACACCTTCAGAGGTTCCTGTTCCGTGATCCCCGAGAGGTCCGCGTTGTCGCTGAAGACCTGGGTGATGCCCAGTTTGCCCAGGAGGGGTTTCAGGTCGTAGGTTCCAGAGATGGAGAGTTTGGGAAAACGGACCCTGACAGACCTGTCGTGCAGGGAACACAATGAAAACGTCTCATTCCTGCTCCCGTCCTCTGGGGCCCCGCTTGGGCATTGTGTTCTTTCCTCCTGGTTTCTCCCACTTAGCGCAGCCCCTCCCCCACTCCCACATGGATGCTGACTCAGTCATTGTCCTCCTCTCGCCCATTGCAGCAGGTGTCAGAGTGTCAGCACCCACAGGGCCCTGGAAAGCCACCTCCCCTGAGAAGCCCTCCAGGCAGATCCAGGGTGTCCTTGGAAGAGCATCTAACCTGCCCTGCAGTGTTGGTGCCCCCACAGCCGGGGACTCCCTGGTGCCTGGCTCCCAGGGGAACGTGGCTGGCGGTGGCAGGTGCTGAGTGACAGCTGTCTCATGGGTAGGAGAGTGGACCCAGCAGGCTTAGGGCTCAGTTCTGGTTGTGGGGAGAAGGTGCGGGCTTTTGTGGGCGGGCAGACTGGCACTGGGGCTCTATGACGAGTTCTGGCCGTGGCTGCTCCTGGGCCCCTGTTCTCATCCCTGGTGCAGGGACCTCGGCAGGGTGGGGCGGGGCAGAGGGCTGAAGGATTCCATTTGGCATTGACCCTTAGCCCTGCGTGTGTGGTCATGTGTATCTTGAGGGCACAGTGGGCAGTAGCTCGGCAGGGCACACGCATGATTCCCAGGCACAAGTCCGCGTGGGGGTTGGGTGTGCTGGGGCCCAGCAGAGTTGCAGGGCCAGGAGAGCACTCGAGTGACGTCACAGCGACACCAGTTCTCTGCAGATGGGTCCCGGTGTCTCCCACTCTGGCCTTTGCTCTGCTGGGCCTCTTCCCCTGCCCACCAGGGACATCTGTGCTTGGACTCCATACTCAGCTGCCACCCTGCAGGAAGCCCTCCGTGGTTCTGCCATAGCCTGTGCTGCCTTTACTGTCACCTCACTGGGCACGATGTTGGGAAGTGGCCGTGTCCATGCCCGGGGGTGGAGTCCCCAGAACTCGGCCTTGACCTTCTTACCCAGTTCACTGTCCCTTTCACACAGCCTGGCTGCTGCCACCTGTACTGAGCACCTGCCTCAGCTGTGGCCCAAAGCCCATGGGGTCCTCCCTCCCCAGCCCCGACTGCTGGTCATGGCCCCACTCCCAGTGTGACCTAGAGGTCCCGAGGGGTCCCAGGCTGGTGTGGGCGGGGAGTCACCTGAAGCTGCTTTTTGCCAGGAACTTGGCGATGAGCTCCGTGGTGAGCGTGTCCTCCAGGTGCTGCAGCTTCCCCTCGTCGGGCAGGAGGAAGAGGGCCGTGGCGTTGCCCTTGTAGTCCATGCGCAGCACCGTGCTGGCCAGCGTGCTACAGTGGAATTTCACATACATGCCCAGGCGCGACATCATGGGCACCCGCACCGTGGTCGTGGCGTCCACGTGGAAGTCCTCTTCCTTGGTGTTCTCGGGCTCGAAGGGCTTCTCCCACTTCCCTGGGGAGGCGGGGAGGGCAGAGGCAGGTGAGCACCAGCTGGGGGCCGGGCGGGCCTTGGATGCGTGTGACCTCGCTGAGCCTCCGCCTCATCGGAGAAAGGGGCTCAAATCAGCATCCACACGGATGGAAGGACTTGGACAAGGACAAGGACAACCAAGAGAGAGGAAAAATATGGAGCTCTGCCCCCCAGAGGACAACAGGCACAGTGCCTTTGTTTTCTGTGTTATGTGTGTATTTAAGCCTGGCTGGGATGTGGTGTGAGCCCCAAATCCTGGAAAGCTACAATGTAACACTATCCCTCAACTTGTCAGTCAAAACACCCTCTTTCCCAGAATGCACTTGCTTCATGCAGGACCTAGAAGGGAGACGCCATGAAAATATGGACACTAAGCCCCATGAGGGATCCATGGAGGTGGGGACAATTCCCAGGTGGCTGCACCCTTGTGGAAATCGCCCCCTACCTGGTAAAAAATGCCAACAACGGGGAGAGCTCTCTCTCTCTCTCTCTCTCTGTCTCTCTCTCTCTTTCCCTCTCACCTTAGACCACTCCTGAAGGTGCTACTCAAGTGGTCTCTTTCTGTCCTACCTCTTCTCCCATTCAGCTCTCCCAGTACCCACGCGTGTCAAGGGTGCCACGCTCCTGCACGGATGTCTGTTTCTCTCTCACGGGAACCCCTGATGCTGCCTGTGTGCCTGGTGAAGCCTGTGCTAGGAGGCTAGGAGGCGTCTCCTGGTGAGGCCAGAACCTGGAGGGGGATGGACAAGCTCCTGCCCACACCAGAAAGAGCGCTGTAAGTGAACGTCTGGGGCGGGCAGTCGCCACCCAGGGTGAGCACTCTGGGTGCTGCTCCTAAGTCCTTGTCCTGGGAACTACAGGGGCAAAACAGGTGCACAGGCAGCCTCCCCCTGTGTAACCAAAGAGGACCCCACCATGAAGACAGCCAAGGGGCAGGTACCCCAGGACCCCAGGACCCTCCTTCCTCACTGGAGGGGGAGGTGATGGCTGGGGAGGCTGAGCCCTGTGCTAGGTCTCAGTGGAGCTGGGAGCTCAGATGGGCAGGCCTCGGCCTGGTGCCCTGCACTGCAGGACTCTATAGGGAGGGAGTCCTTGGGGAGGGCTTGACCCTGGCCTTGACCCTGAGCTCTCCCTGGGACAGTGGGAGCGGCCTGAGAGCACCCTGCGGGCCCCAACCTCTGACGCGCTGAGCACTCCGAGGCAGGAAGGCGGCTGGGAGCCGAGGGGAGCTCTCACCCCAGTGAGGGCCCTGAGAGTCCTGCAGGGAAGCCCATGGTGCTGAGCACTGAGGCCCTGTTCCCTGTGGTTGGTGGAATGCAGTGCTGGTGTGCGGGAAACTGGGGGCCCGGGCTGCGACGCGCCGTCCAGCCTGCATCGGGTGTGGCCAGGGAAGCCTAAGGCCGGCCCGGCGTCTGTCTGGGGTTTCCACGGCACCTGCTGAGCGGCTGTGCACCCTCACCTTTGAAGAAAACGTAGTTCACCAGGGCAAGCAGTGTGCGGGCGTCCAGCTCTTGCACCAAGTCCACGATCTTCCCTCGGGTCCCCTTCTCCACGTGGCTGTTGATCTTGGTCTTGGCCTGCTCGGGGTCCCTGAAGTCGACGAGGAAGGCTTCGGACTGGTACAGGTTCTTGGCGTCTTCTAGAAACTTGTGCTGCAGCTTCAGGTTCTCGTGGACGACCAGGGCGTTGCCGGCGGCCAGCTGCAGCTCGCTGTCGGGCCTGTTGACGGTGTGCAGGAGGTGCCGGAAGCCGTCGTGGATCTGGGCCTCGGCCGTCTCCGTGAGGTTGAACTTCAGGCCCTCCAGGACCTGGGTGTGGGTGTCCCCCTTGGCCCCCAGGGAGAGCATGGCAAAGGCCAGGGCGATGCTCACCGGGGAGAAGAAGATATTGGTGGTGTTGGACTCGTGGGCCACCTCGCGGTACAGGCTGAGGGCGAACTCGGCCAGGCTCGGGGCGATCCTGTGGCAGGCTGGGTGGTCCTGCTCATGGCTGGAAACGGCTGTCTCCTGGGCCTCGTCGGCCAGGAAGCCGGGCAGCAGGCAGCCCAGGCCGGCCAGCAGGAGGAGCGCTCGAGAGACAGAGGGTGGCATTGTCCTGTGGGAGAGAGAAGGGCACCAAGCCCTGAGTCGGGGCCCGTGATGCCTGCCGGAGGCCAGCCACTGACGCCACGCATAGGTCATGGCCAGCAGGCATGCACAAGGGCCCAGGCATTTCCCAGTGCTCCCCAAGTCACCACCAGGGGAAAGGTCATGAAGACAGGCTGCGTTGTCCTGGGCTGTCGTGGGCCCTGACTTCCTGCTGCCTGTTCTACTCCCATGTACGCTGGCACTGCTGTTCATCGCTGACTGATGAGAGAGCCAAAGCCCAGAGCAGGCGTGGCGGAGGCCAGGGGCGGCGAGGTAGCTGATTGCTCCCGGACAGGCTGGGACCCCGCCAGCGACTCTGGGAGCTCCACTTACAGCCACGGTGGCCTGGAGGTGCAAGTTCACTGCCCTAACTCTACCAAGGAGGGAACTGAGGCACAGGATGAGTCAGGGACTCCTGCACAGTTCTCAGGGGACTGGGCCAGCCTGCTCTGTCCACAGAAGCTGAGATGCACCTGCAGACCCTGAGTTGCTTGCAGGTGCTAACTGAAGGTGCAGCCTTGATAGGAGACAGAGTGGAGCCCTGGGAGTGGGGATCTGAAAGCCAGAGCGAACAGAGCTGGGCCAGAGATGCGATGTCCCCTGCCAGACCTGCATTGTCCCGGGCCTTTGTAAGTTTGTTCTTGCTAAAACAACAAGACAAACACAGCTAGCTTCTTTTCCTCCACCCTCTTCTTGCTCTCCCTGGCTTGAAATGATACAAACAGAGCAGACCGCAGTAGCACAACGCGTGGGTGTTTCTGCTTCTCCTACAGTGGCCAGCCCACATGGTCAGAGGGGAAGAAGGCACTGGGATCCCTTCTGTATTTCCACTGCCTTAGGATTCCATGACACCACCCGCCTGGATGGTGGTGCAGTCTCCAGGCCAGATGGAAATTCCCCACCTCTGCAGGGCTCAGTTACCAGGGGCAGCTGAGCCTAACAGGGCGGACGCCAGCTTTTCCCAGAGGCCTTTGCTGAAGGCTGCAGCTCCCCTCCAGGCACACAACTTTCCACTGGGCATCGGCGAGCATCCCCTGGGCCTCGCTCTGTCCAGCTGTGCAGGGTTGGGCGGAGGCGACCCCAGGCCCTCCCTGCACCCACACAGGGCTCCTGGGGGGTGCCCAGGACTCCCACTGAGGGGTGGGGTGGGCTGAGGCACCCTCCTACTCCAGGAACTGATGGGCTCCAAGGAGGAAGGGAAAGATTGGCATGGGGAGGGGTGGGCGGACCTGCAGCCTGGACAACCGCATTCTCTACCACATCCTGGGTGCCCCAGGCTATCTGGGTTCTTCCTTTTACAGTGGAGGCTCTGAGGCCAAGAGAGGGCCCTCGCATGGACAAGACCCCACAGAGCCTCAGGGACAAAGTTGGGACCAGGGGTCGGTGTTGTGGCCCAGGAGGTTAAGCTGCTGCCTGTGATGCCAGCAACCTTTCTGTTTGCTGGTTGGAGTCCCAGCTGCTCCGTTTCCAATCCAGCTCCCTGCTAACGTGCCAGGAGGACAGCAGAGGATGGCCCAAGTGGTTGGGCTCCTGCCGCCCAGAGGAAGTTTCAGCCTGTGCCCAGCCCCGGCCTTTGTGGCCTCCTGGGGAGTAACCAGCAGAGGGAAGATCTCTGTCCGTCTGTCTCTCTGTAACTCTGACTTTCACATAAGTGAGTCAACCTTTAGAATCCTGGCACCAGTCTGGTTTTCTCAGGAAGGATCGGACAGCTGGGTCCTGGGACCTCAGGCTCTGTGAAGGTCAGAGCGGGGCTGAGGTCAGTCTTGCACCTCCCAGGCTGTTGTGAGTCTGAAATGCAGCAGTACGTGTCCTGGGGCGAAGGGACAGGGTGCAGGTTCAGACCCGGCTCAGGAAGCCACGTCCATGCCAGGGGCCTGGGTTTGATCTGAGCTCAGCTCCTGTCTCCGGCTTCCTGGAGCAGCAGTGGTGACAGCTGAAGTTAATCAGTTCCCTGACACCCACGTGGGAGACTGCGGTCATGTCCCTGGCTCCCAGCCCCATCCCCACTATTGCAGGCAATCCTGGCGTGAGCCGGCACATGGGAGTTCTTCTCTCCCCCCACCCCCGCTCCTCCTCACCCTCCTCCTCTCATCTCTGTCTCTATTCCTCCTTCTCTCCCTGCCTCACCTCTGCCTACCAAGTAAATAATCTTAATAATACATGCACTGAGCTTAGACATGGCCTGGCCCCGAGTGAGTGCCCAGGACCTGGACGTGGGTTTTGCTCATAGGGGTTGGGTTCCTTCTCTATGCACAAGAGGCCACCGGGCATGGGGGCCCCCACTGTGTACACAGAGAGGAAGGAGTGTGACCCAAGGCTGCTCCATGCCTCTGTGACTATCTTACCATCCTCCTTTGCAGAAAGGGCAAGGATGCGCGGAAGCCCTAGGCAGACCCCGGGACTTGGAAAGGACACCACTGTTCCTCCTGCCCGTGTTGCTCCTCCTGGGGCCCCAGGGCCCTGGGCCTGCTGCCTTCCTCCACTTCGCTTACGGAGCTGGGACGACTGGGCAGGTTTGGGGAAAGGACCCTAGGGGCTGCTGTTACTGTGGTCACAGGACAGCCAGTGGATGTCAGCACAGCCCAGCCACCCCTCCCAGCCTGCCCCGCAGGCCCCCAGGGCCCTCCCCAGGGAGCGCACACTTACCAGGACTCAGTGCCCAGGGCTGGTGGCAGGAACAAAGATGGGGAGATGGAGTCCTGTCCTTGTCCTTGTCGGAATTTAAGAAAAGATCACAGCGGGGGATGGGGCAGCTGCAGGTGAATATTAACCAAGGTCACGCCAGTTATCGGAGGAGCAAACAGGAGTTAAGTCCACTGGCTGGGCACTGGGCTGCCCACCCACCATGCGTAAGCTTGGCCTGGACAGCACATATCTCTCAGGTCCATATCCCCAAGGGGTCACTGGAGCAGGCACGTCGACCGTGGGGTGGGTGGCATGAGTCAGACGCTCTCTGGGACAGCATCGCCCAGCTGGCTGTGTGCTCTCACCCGAAACCCTCCGTGGCCGCCCCATCAGGAGTGAGATGAGCCACGTATGAGCCAGCCGCCCCGCGCGCCCTCTGTGGAAGACCCAGCACAGCCGTGGTGGTGGAGTGAGTCTGAGCCCGTGTGACAGAGAGGGAGACTGAGGCTCAGTGGAGAGGCTGCTTTTCCAACGTTCCCAAGCCAGCCTTAGGTCCTGACCATTCATGTCCCCCAGAATGGGGACTGGGGCAGGACTGAGAGACGTGGCCATGTCAGCCTGGCACCGTGGCCTGGGGACGGGCAGGGCCAGAGAGTAAATCTGAAGAGGCGATCGGTGCTGCTTCCTCTCGGATCCTGGGGGCGTTTCCCCTGCACCTGTGCTGATCACAAGCCCCACCCCCCAAGCCTGGCTTGTGGGAACACAGGGAGCACCTAGGGTGCCATGACCCGAGCAGCCTGTGTCGCCGTCCCTCCGCACTCTGGGATTATGCAGCCCATCGCTCTCTGGCGGTTCCAGCTTCTGGTTCCCGGAAGGCCGGCGCGACCCACGCACGGCTTGAATTTCCTCGCGGCCTTGGGGAGCAGTGCTGTGGCTGGGGGAGGTGCAGAGTCGCAGCAACCTGGCCCCCTCGATTCGAGTTCCTGTAGCAACCTAAATGCATCGCAGTGCCCTCTGGGCTGCTCGGTGCCGGTGGCTGGGCTCCTGCTGCACCGACAGGTGCTCTCTGATGAGGACGAGTTTGGCTTTGCTCCCCCTCTCCTCCCGCAGTCCCATCTGGGGGTGGCCCTGGGAATTCTCTACACCTGAGTTCAGACCAGGGGACCCACTCGCAGTTGTGTGACCTCTGACCAGTCACTTAACCTCTCTGTGCCTCCTAGTACCACATTGGTAGGCAGCACACACGTTATTGGTGCAGTAGTCCAAGGTCCACTCAGAGCTCATGCAGGTTGTTGCCAGGTCAATGGATACCACTGGGGTTACCTGGAGCAAGCTGGGTGGTGATCAGGAGCCTTCCTGCGGGTAGTCCCTCAATCAGCAACCCCCCCCCCATACACCCACCGTACAGGAAGTGGCTCAGAACCCTCTCCCCACTGCTCTCCCATACCCAACTCCGTCCTCTGCCTTCAGGGTCCCTGTCTTTCCCCTGAGCTGGCCAGGGGGATGCTTCCCCTGGAACTGCACCCTGGCTGCTCCCAGGGCAAGGAGCAGCTAGCTGTGGTGGAGCAGAGCCCTGACCCCCAAACGCTGTACCCCCATCTGCACAACAGCTCTCTCACGTGCTACACTGAGTGGACGGCAGGTGCCCCCTCTCCCCCTCTCCCCAAATGGGACTCGCAGCCCCTCCACCTGGGCCTGGGTCGTGCTGAGGGGCAGCCATGCTTCCCTGTCCCCTGCTGCTCTCCTCCTCTGCAGCTCTGGTTCTCTGGGGTTGCATCACCCAGGCCGTGCGTGCCTGACCACAGCTCTGGTCTCTGCCTGCCCGGGGGGAAGGAGGCCCCTGTGGTGTGGATGACAGGACCAGGAGGGGCTGGAGCTGAGGCAGGAAGGGCCCTGCCCTTTGCCAGGTGGACCCAGGTGGTTCTTGCTGGCCCAGGCAGTCCTGTGTGTCGCCTGCTGTGCCTGCCGTGTCCTGGCTCTGAGTCCCAGGCTGAGGCGCCCTGAGCTCTGAGCCCCGGCAGGGGGAACAGTGGCTTAGGCTTCCAGGAGTCCTATGAACAACGATGTCACCTTCGTGGTAGAATTCCAGGGCCAGCTGCAGAGAGAGGAGGCAGGGCCACCTCCAGGTGCCCAGCAGGAGCCAGGGAGGCTGGGAGGTCGAGTGTCCCAGGCCTGGCTGACAGCAGGACGTGGCGCTCGGCAGCCAGGTTTGGGTCCCTGCCCTTGAGGGCTTCGGGCTCCACCCTCAGGGCACCATCTACCCTGGGCACCGTCACTGGATGTATGGCTGGGAGGACCCGAGAAAGCGAGGCAGGAGAGACCCCCTGGAGAGGGACAGGGCACGTATGCGCAGGTGGGTGGGCCGGGTGCCCTGTGAGGAAACAGTGCCTCACTACTGGATTCTCCTGCAACTGTCGACGGCAGTAGCTGGGAGCAAGTGCATGCTGGGAAGTGCCAGTGGGCTGCATGTGAGCAGAGGGCTACTGGGAGACCCTGCCCCTGCACGGGCCCTGCCTAGAGATGGGGCCCAGGGGTGGGCTGGGGTCTGCAGCCAGGAAGGGAGTTGGGGGTCAGGCATGGGAGGGGCTCTGAGGCTGCTCTGGTGGAGAGGGTGGGCCTCAGGGCAGCCAGATCCACTGGCGGAGTTCCTGCGAGGGTGTGGGGTCTCCTGCTTCCAATTCTCCTCCTTGTTCAGCTGCAGAAAAATGAGGCAAATCCACGCAACGTGGCCATGCTGGGAGCAGAAGGCAGGAAAGACGCCTCGGGACGCTCTGAGATGAAGGCTCTGAGGTTCATTACAGCCAACCTCGCTTCTACTTGAACCTCACTCTTGAGGTTCTGGACCACGACAGCCAACAGGGACGTAAGCTCCCGGGGACCTCTCGTGCCCTGTGTAACTGTAGCTGTGATGTCCTTGTGGAAGGTCACCTTGGCCTTCCGGGGCAGGCAGGAGCACTGCTTGTGATGCTCACCCCTGCTGAGTTTTCCGGAAGCATCACTTGGTAGCATTGACCCCACGGCTGCCTCAGGGCAGTGGCGTCAGTGGCCGTGTTCCAGTGAGGGAGAGCAGGGGTGATAAGGCTCCTTCCGGAATGACCAGCAGTCCTGGGGCCCATTACAGGGAGCGCAGGCCCTACGTGGGTGGCTCCAGTTGCAGCGACAGAGTTTCTGGAACTTGCTCAATCCAGCTGAGCTGGAAGGGTTGTCCTTGATCTGGCTTTGTCATGCTGACTCTGAAGGCTTCTGTTTGCTTGGTTTTGAGAAGTCCCCGGCTGTTGTCATTGTCCAAAGCAGATCCCCAAACTGCCCCCGACGTGGGTCACGTCACTGTCTCCACCTGGCTGAGACCTGTCGGGTGACCGCTGCCCTCCTGATGGGCATGAGCTCCTAGGATCCCCTGCGCCAGGACCCAGCTCCTGGGCATGGGTGAGGGAGCCGAGGCCCAGGAAGCTGCCATGCGCTTACCAGGAGCGCAACCCCCCTTCCTCCCTCTCACTGTCCACACCCTCATCACGCTAGGACAGCTGGCAGTTAGTGAGGGCACAGCACACAGCAGATGCTTCTAGACTCTGCACACGGTGAGCTCATCTTAGCAACAAGCCTAGACAACTGCACTTACTCCCATTTCACACGCGAGACAACTGAGGTGCAGAGATCAAGTACCCCAGCTAGGTCACCGCGGGCTGGGAGGGGCTGGAGGGGAGATTCTCTTTCTTTGAATAACGATTTGTTTATTTGAAAGGCAGAGTTACAGAGCGAGAGGGAGAGACAGAGAGAGACTCTTCCATGTGCTCGTTCATTCCCCACATGGCTGGGGCAAGGGCAGGCCAAAACCAGGATCCTGAAACTCCATCTGGGTCTCCCACATGGCTGGCAGGGACTCTGCACTTGGGCCATCTTGCGCTGCCTTCTCAGGCTCATTAGTGGTAACCAGATGGGAAGTAGAGCAGCAGGGACTCCAAGTGGCACTCACATGGGATGGTGGCGTCCCTGGCGATGGTGGCATCACAGGGCCACCTCTGCAGAGGGAGCTTCTGACCAGGCCGTGGGACTCCAGGGCCCGGCAGCACCACCCCGGGTCAGGGGCTGCGTTTCTCCCATCCCTCCGCCTTAGTACTGCACACGAAGCAGGTAACGCAAGGCCACTTGGTGACCGGAGTTGATCCAGGAGAGCAGACATGGAGGCTTCTGTGTGCAGGGTAGGACTGGGAAAGCATTTAGGACCCTGAAAATCCACATGGCGCGTGTGTCCTCTTAGCTAAAAGCACACGCGAGTTCCTCTGTTCTCTGAGCCACAAGCAAGACTGGGGAGAGAGGGTAGCAGGGCCTCATAGCCAGAGCCCCCAGCACAGCCGCACCCCTTCTAGAAGGGGCCAGAGCCAGGCCGGAGCTGTAACTACAAGCTGCCGTGGAGGGGGAGGGGTTGGCATCCTGCCCCACTGCCCCCTGCTCCTCTTCTCCCTGTGGCCCCTCCTCCGGCTCAGTCTGGTCAGTTTTGAACCTGTGACCTTGGCCTCCCTGCCCTGGAGCTGAGCAGCGAGATCCTAGCCAAAACAGCCCATTTTCTGAGCAGCCGCCAGCCGCCAGGCACTCCGTTACCAGCTGTCATGAGCTCTGTGACCCCGGCAGCTCTGCAGAAAGGCTTCTCACAGCTCCTCTGCAAGTGGGGTCGGGGGAGCCCACCGCTCCCCCACCTCCCTGCACCCCCGCGTTTTTGCTGAGGTCTCTTCCCTGGTGATCTTTCTCCCCTGGGGCGCTATGCACATGGGGTTAAATCCCGCGCCCTAAATGCACACCCGGGCACCACCCCTCTGAGCAGGACAGAGGGCAAATCCACCCACCCAGGAAGGCCCCTGGGGTCCTCAGTTCTGGGCACCATCTTGGTGAGAGGTCTCGCCTCTTCTAGAACGGCGTGCGGATGGGACAACGCAGGACGCCACTCTGCATCTGCCTGCTTGAGCACAGCTCCACGGCCCCGAGCCTCCTCTGAGCAGCTGCCCGCGTCTGCAGCACCCCGACGCCGCTCGCGGAAGAACGCCCAGGTCCACGTCGAGCAGGGCCACAGTCGGCC